GTAATTGATGTATTGGATTATTGATGTATATTATCTATAAATTAAGTGACTGAAATATATTGTAACGCCCAATTAGTGACTATTATATTCTATAATCAATTGATTAGAGTTTTAAGTATTTAAATTTCCAATTCTGATTTTTCTCGACGACTTTCTTTATTATTCAAAGCATCCTTTGAATTATTGTTGGTCCTTTTTCTCGTATTTTGATAAATTTGAGTCTGTGTTCGCCATATTTTATTAATTTTTTACCTTTCCCAGAGTTACGACTTCAATTTTTTAAATCCGCTAAGCTTTTCTCAACCCAATTAAAAATAAACAAGCACTTTGTTGTTTTCTATTCGCATATAACAACGGGGGAAATCGTATAACAATTAAAATTATTCCTAGGTTACCCGGAACAGCTATAAGAATTTTTTCTGTTGCGATAAATTTAGATATCAAAATGAATCGCGTGTTTAGAATTTTAAACAGATTTACATAATAATAGACGTAATAGATGAATGTATAAAAGCTTATCCTCGAACGACATAAAAATGTGGTGTATTTGAATAAAATATTGACCTTTTCAAAGGACGATCAATCAATTGAGTTAATACTAGAAAAATTTACTTGTTTATGCAGAATTGTATTTAATTTTATTGGATATGCTAAGGTTATACTTTTCATATTGTTAGATCTATGTTTTAAAAGAAAATCATACGTTTCAAAAATTAAAATTAAGTTTTTTACAATAATAATAATAATATATAATAAATAAGTTTATTCATTCACATTACAAATGGGGGTATAATATTATAAAATAATATAGAAAATTGAACAAACTATAAATCAGCATAAGCTTGTTTGCAGATAAAAGGCTATAGTTCTACTAAATATCGTGGCATTCCCCAAGGATCAAATCTTGGACCTCTTCTCTTTATGTTTTGTATAAAATTATAACTTGTGAAAAATTTAAATATACTGATATATAGATAAAGCTGTAGAAGTGTTTTGTGGTATAAATTAATAATATGTAAATATTTTCTTTCTTTTTCTGGCTTATTTTTCCTTCATAGTACGATTATAAATGATTGGTTTGGTTAATTTTTTTTTTCTATATAGATGTATAATTTTTTTTCCTTCTTGAATTTATGTTCTGTTATTTCTTGAAAATATAAATTGTCTACTTTTATTTAGTTATACAGGGTGATTCAAAATTGAGTGCAAATATTTTAAGGGCGTATGTACCAGCCAAAAATAAGAATTTTTTTTTAAATCGGTTTTTTATCAATTACTCAAAAACCTTTTAGCCGATTTAAATAACATTTGGTAGGCTTGATACTTATAGGTAAAATTATGGTACAACACTGCTTTTTTGACAACTAAATTTTTTTTTTAGATTAAGCTGTCAATAGTGTAACTTTCTTGCTTCCTAAAATCTATGCCTGGTTCTATTAAAACAAGTAAAAAATTAATTACTAAATAATTTTTATTTGTATTATGAAATTTCATTCATTATTTATTCCAGTGGCGTCTCAAAATGTGATTTTATTTAATTAATAATTGTTAAAAAACAAAAAAAAAATTTGACACCCTGTATCTAGAAAACGAAGCAAGGTAGGACATACGATTATATGAAAAAAATTTCTTATTTTTGGCTGGGTAATACGCCCTTAAAATATTTACACTCAATTTTGAATCACCCTGTATATTTTTTCTTTTTTATCTTGTCCTGTAAATGGAATATAACTAATTTTCATTTTTAAAAATTTAATGAAACCATTCTGCTTTGTCCAGATTTATCAATAGCTACTTCTAATTCTAAAATTTCCTTAGGTAATATCAAAAATATTTCTTAAAACACACTGAAGCTTAAGTTTTCCTGAGATTTTAACATCAACGATGAATAGAATTGACAATTGACAGCTGAAATGTTTATTGGTTAGGTAGATTAAGTTGGTAATGCGTATTAGTGCTAAAAGTTTTTAAAAGTCTCTTCTGAATTATTTTGAATTATTTTTAAATATTTTTGAATCATTCAGTCTCACTATGCACGTAAATTCTCCAACTAGAATCACAGAAACAACATCTACAATTATAGATTACGTAGTCTCTGATTTTAAACCCGTTGATGTAGAGCACCAAGTAATTAGCTCAGGTCTCTCAGACCACGAAGCAGTATTAGCCAAATTTTTGATACCCCGTACAGCTCCAAAAAAAGTCCGTCAGCTAGGTAGAATTTTCTCTAAGCATAATTTCAAAAATTTCTATAATTTATGTCTAACTACTGATTGGAATGGTCTTTCTGAAGATATTGACTCTAAATTTTTAGACTTCTTAAATAAAATAATTATGTGTTTCAATACAGCTTTCCCCCTTCGCCCCATTAAAACTAAATGTCATAAATCTTGGACAACTAAAGGAATAAGAACATCATCTAAAAATATGAAGTCACTCATGTATATTAAAAAGTACACAGATAATCCCCTAATATTAAACTATATCAACAACTACAGAATATTGTATCGGAAAATCACCAAATCTGCTAAGAAAAACTATTACAAAAATCGCATCGCAAGAGCTAAAAACTCCTCCAAAGAAACCTGGTCTATAATAAATGACTTAAGGAATAAAACCCGTTCTTCAAACAGTGTAAATCCTAGCCCAGATGAACTAAACAATTATTTCGTAAATGTAAGTAAAAATATCAAATCTAACATAGCTCCGAGTCAGGATGCTCTCTCCTTCCTCCTACCTACTAAAAGGATCACTGAAAGTTTCTTCCTAAGACCAGTAAGCATGAACTAGTGCAAACCATAAACAACATCCAAAATAAATTTTCCTGTGGAATTGATGGCCTGTCCACCAAAATATTTCTATATATACCGGATGTAGTAATCAACATTTTAACTTCACTGATTAATGAATCCTTTGAAATTGGTCTCTTTCCTAACTGTCTAAAAACAGCTATAATAATCCCACTTCATAAAGGTGGCGACAAAACCAAAACCTGTAACTATAGACCTATCACGTTATTGCCTACCTTATCGAAGATAGTAGAACGGCTAATGAAAAACCGTCTTTTGTCCTTTCTTTTCAAGCATAACATCCTCACAGCTCATCAGTATGGCTTTCTACCTAAAAAAATGCACTAGCGACGCAATGTTTTCCGTTCTTAATGAAATATACACATCACTTAATGATAAACTTTTCACCGCTTCAGTATTTTGTGACTTCGCAAAGGCCTTCGATTGTGTAAATCATGATATTTTAATTAATAAGTTACAAATTTATGGCATACGGGGTTCTCCTTTACAATGGTTTAAAACTTACCTAGAAAATAGAAATCAACAGGTGCGGGCGAATGGTGAGGATTCTACAAATCTAGCAATAAGCAGTGGAGTACCTCAAGGATCAGTATTAGGTCCAATTTTGTTTTTATTATTCATCAACGACATCACAGACTTAAGAATAAGTGGTAGAATTACTTTATTTGCTGATGACACCAGTGTAACCTGGAATAATTCTAACATGCAGACATTACAATCTATCATAAGTGAAGATCTAGTGACTATTAAGTCTTGGTCTGATTCGAATGGACTTTGTTTCAACACCAGTAAAACTGTAGCATTGTCTTACAGAGGTACTTTACAACCTATAGCTTTAAACAATAATCTGATCCAAACGGTGACTTCAATCAAGTTTTTAGGTCTTTATATAGACGATTCTCTAAAATGGTCTGCTCATATAGATACCTTAGCAAAAAAATTATCCTCCGCATGTTTTGCCATTAAATCGGTTTCTAAAGAGCTGACTCCTTCTACTGCATTAATAACCTACTTTTCCTTATTCGAATCTCACCTTCGCTATGGTTTACCTTTCTGGGGTTCTTGTAGCTTATACCTTTTCGAATCTATTTTTAAACTGCAAAAAAGAGCAATCCGCTATGTATTTGGTTTAAGTAGTAGGACACATTGCGAAAATTACTTCAAAAATTTCAAAATTCTAACCCTTCCTGCTCTATTTATTTTCGAATCCGTCTGCTTAGTTCGCAAGCACATTCAAAATTTATCCGAAAGACCGACTCGTAGATATCCTACAAGAAATTTAGAGACTGATGTTTATTTAACAATGCCCACTTCTGACCTATTAAAACATTCCATTACCTACAATGCCAAAAAATTGTATAATAACCTTCCGATGCAATTAAAATCTATAAATACATACGATAAGTTCCGAAGACTGGCTAAAGCTTTTCTTCTAGAAAGACCATATTACACAGTAGCAGAATTTTATAACGTACCTTAGACATTTGAGTTCCACATACAATGGCATTAATTAAATATTAAAGTTTAAATTTAAAAATTAAATTAGAATAATTATAATGACGGATATTGCATATCCATTGCAATTGTTATTCCTATTTTGTCTGTTTGTTTCTGTTTGTTTTTTCTGCTGTTTAGTTATTTTTATAATATGTTTAGTATTTAAGTTACACGCTTTGTCTATAAAATTTTTGTAAATTTTTTTACGACAATAAAGCATATCTCTCTCTCTCGCTCGCTCTCTCTCTCTCTCTCTCTCTCTCTGGTTCCTCAGAAATATGTCTGAGTACCAAATGACCAGTGGAAAGTTAAAAAGTTTTACGCGACGCACAATTGAATATTTAACTGTTAAACTGTATCTCGGATGGTTTGCATCATATTTTGAAAATACCAGAAGTCTTAAATATCTAATTAAATATGAATTAGAAATAAATAATCAGTCGGGTCCAAAAGCGTATTGTTTTTGAATTATAAATGATTTGTATATAATATAGATTGCATTATCCTATATCAAAATAAAAACACCCCTTTTAATTTCAGTTGTGTCCTAATATTGTATATATTAACATAAAAAAATACTAAGAAAAATAATTTACAAACACTTATTTATAAAAAGTGGCAAACATTAGAATGTGTAAAAGGCATTAAAGTTTAAAGTCCGAAAAAGACTGAGTAAAAAAAGCGAAAACTCACCTTTGTTATGATAAAAAAAGAAAACGCTTAAACAGTAGTAAGCGCCCGTAGAAGAGATATTGTTGGCACAATGAAAAGTCAATATATATCACTCCATCTATTTGTTCACTTAGTCAAACACAATGCCGAGTTAAGCCTCGGTACTTAGTGTAGATAAAACCCGAGTTTAAGCGCAAATCGGTTTACAGTGGATTCCTAACTATATACACGCTCCTAATACGAAAGCTGTATTAAATAAGTAGAATTGATCCTCACTTTTCGTGGCTCGGGACATAAGCCACGCCCCGCCCCCCGCTGGCGGCGCGGATGTCGGGGAAGTTCGGCCCGAAGAGCTGGGCCACCGCGATGCACCGTACGGAGGACGCCGCCGCCTCTGGAACGAAACGACGCTAACGGTGAACCGCTCACCTGGCGTCGGAAAGTTAATTTAACAGTCTACAATAATGGTAGAGAATAGGAACAAACTAAATGTTGCCTTTATCCTTTAGATTTATAGTGTTTCTAGCTAATAATTGGCAAAACAAAAAACAGTTAGAAAAAGACAGATAGGTTGATGAGAAATAATGGGGTAAAACTACCAAACCAAAGGCACTTATTTACAGGAGTTTAAAATGAAACCTTTTAACAAAAACAGCCTGTCACAGTGATAAATATTAAAAACAACCAAGTTCAGTTGAATGTGGTAGCAAAGTCTATATATTCCAATAAATCGGGTAACTACATGTGGTATTACTGGTGATAAATTTAAAAATATCACAATTCTTGCCACCTTTTTCAAAAAGCCAGCAAGTGTGCCTTCTTATTAATCCTTGACGAAAATGACAACAGTGATAAATGTTAAAAAAAGATATTTAATGTTGCTATTCGTTAATACGATAGTAAAACATGTTTGCAGTTCTGTTTATTTTTTATAAAAATCTAAGTAAAAACAACCAATGTCAAATGGTTTTAATTTTTTTCTCTGTCAAACCAAATAAAGCATAAAATTAAAAATTGATCGTAGGTCAAGCTAAAGTAATACCTTTAAACATGTTTCACTACTGATTTATTTTCCTGTAGTGGATGAAGAAATTTCTTCAACCATCTAGCCAAATCTACATCAATATTTACGCATTTTGATAAATTAGAGCCTTTCCAATAACACTGAGTAGATGTTACAGATGGTTCCTCACTTCTTCTATGAAGCCGCAGCAAAAAAGCTACAACATGTTTACAACCACCTGAAAAAAATAACTATACAGGGTGGCCACTTTTTCATTGAAATGTATTGCTATCTCGTAAACCGTTGGTAACACAAAGTTGGTTAAATGGAGAAAAAGTTGCATATTTCGAAGTCCAATCTGAGGGTGTTTTGAAAACTAAAATATCAGGTCCGGTTTCCGAGATATTCGATAAAAAACAAATAAGTACCATTTCTTTATTCCGCTACAGAACGTTTATTTGCAAAAATAGACAAAAACTCATTTGGAGTTTTTTGTTTTATATCAAATTGTGCGTATGATAGCGTATTTAGTTTTTTATCCAACGTTTCGTAAATGCAGGACCACCATCAACTTCTTTATTTGAATATGGACCAATATTTTCCTGGCTCATAATTTTAATGCATGTTCAATGTTGAATACAATGATGTAATAACATATTGTGTTTAGTCAACATTTCGGAAGATTTAAACATCATCAGGTAAGTTTACAAGTACGGACCTGTGTTTTGTTAGTTAAAAATATTTGAATTAGTAAATGATGTATTATCGTTGTAAGAGATTATAAATAATAAATACCAAAGTCAAACTTTTAACTTTACATCAAGACAACATGTTCGTTTACACATTTGCTAAAAAATATTTTCCATTTTTATGGTTTTTGCACTTGACCAATCCCAATATTAATCTATAAATAAAAGTACATCCCGATTTTTAAATACATAAAGTTAGCCTGATTTGTCATATTTTGTTGGATTTTTTAAACTGATATGGTTCCTCATAGTATAAAAAAGAAAAAGTTAACAAACTGCAGATAGATACCTACTTACAATAATAATTGTATATCTAGCAACACGTCTTGATTATTATACAGATAAATTTAAATCAAGTTAACCTGGCATGTCACATTTTATTATTGTATATTTGACAGTCTGGTATCGGATAAAAGCATTGGTATATTTTTAATTAGGGTATTGAAAATATGGTTCGTTACAGTAGAAGTGAGAAAAAAGATATGTACGATGTGTACATAAAATGTAACAGAAATAGTGGAGAAGCTGCAGAAAGATACCTTCAGTTGTAACCAGGAAGGAGGCAACCATCTTTATTAATTTATTATAGGATAGCGTTAAATATGGCTCACGAAGGAAATATTGAAAAAAAACGTGGTAAATATTTAAAACGTAATACAATAAATGAAATAAATGTTTTGTCTCAAGTTTATATCAACCCTGAAACGTCGTCTAGAGCAATAAGCCGAGAATGTGGAGTTTCTGCAAGTACTGTGAAAAACATTCTTAAAAAACATAAGTACCATGATTACAAATTCCAAACTGTACAAAAGCTACATCCTGGAGATTATAATCGTAGAATAGAATTTTGCCGTTGGTATAAACGAAAATTAAATAATGATGTATTCTTTCATGGACGAATTTTATGGACAGATGAATCGACATTTACTAATAGTGGAATATTTAATAGAAAAAATAAACATTTTTATGCCACCGACAACCCACATTTAATTCAAGAAGTAAGACCCCAAATTAGATTTTCAATAAACTTATGGTGTGGAATACTCAATAATAAAATAATTGGTCCTATTTTTATTGACGGAAATCTCAACCAACACAACTATTTACAATTGCTAGAAGATATGTTAGATAATCTTCCTTTAGGTGATCAAAGAAATATTTATTTTATGCAAGATGGCTGTGGGCCACATAATGCTGCATTAATCAGAAATTATTTAAACGAAAGATTTCCCAGGAGGTGGTTTGGTACACATGGACCTATTCGATGGCCCCCTAGGTCACCCTGCTTAAATCCTATGGATTATTTTGTATGGGGATATATCAAAAATAAAGTATATTATGATGGTATTCCAAATGACTTAAATCAATTACGAGATAGGATAATTAATGCGTTTAATAATATCACTCCACAAATGGTTTCTGCCAGCATAGCTCAAATGACAGACCGTATTGACTTATGTATTCAAGAAGAAGGAGGACATTTTGAGCAACTACTGTAGTTTTTCTCTTATCGTTAATCATTGTTTTCATTTATTTGTTTCTGACGTGATTAAGTAGTTAAATACATATTTTTTTTTATTAAATTATTTTAAGCATTTAAAATGTAGTTGTGTATTTCAAATAATTTATAATACAGGTCTGTACAAGTAAACGTACCTGATTTCTTACACTGATAATACATCATTTACTAATTCAAATATTTTTAACTAACAAAACACAGGTCCGTACTTGTAAACTTACCTGATGATGTTCAAATCTTCCGAAATGTTGACTAATCACAATATGTTATTACATCATTGTATTCAACATTGAACATGCATTAAAATTATGAGCCAGGAAAATATTGGTCCATATTCAAATAAAGAAGTTGATGGTAGTCCTGCATTTACGAAACGTCGGATAAAAAAACTAAATACGCTATCATACGCACAATTTGATATAAAACAAAAAACTCCAAATGAGTTTTTGTCTATTTTTGCAAATAAACGTTCTGTAGCGGAATAAAGAAATGGTACTTATTTGTTTTTTATCGAATATCTCGGAAACCGGACCTGATATTTTAGTTTTCAAAACGCCCTCAGATTGGACTTCGAAATATGCAACTTTTTCCCCATTTAACCAACTTAGTGTTTACGAGATAGCAATACATTTCAATGAAAAAGTGGCCACTCTGTATAACCAGCTACAAAATGACTTATTTTATGTAACAAGACGAGCCAAAGCTTTACTAGCTCTGAACGAATCCAGTAAAGCACCTCGGATTTTCAAAACTTTTTAAAAAACAATCTCACCACATTTTTGAAATATTATAGAGCTTCTCGAAAAAACTGCTATTTTAAAAGGTAAAAGTTTTTTTTTTAAACAGTTATGTCTCATTTTAGGCTATTGAGTATCATAAAATAAAAAATTATGGGATGCTTTGTTAGCTTCAAACGAATCCAGCAGAGCACTCCAGTTTTTTTTTATTTTTTAAACCACATCACGTTTTTTGGCTCCTACAATATTATAAAATATTTGAAAGTTTTTTTTTTTTTTTTCTGAAAACAAATATACCACATTTTTAGGATTTTAAAATAGCCTAAACATGTGTCATAAGTAGTTGTTTTTATATATAAAAAATAAAATTAAAAAACTGAAGTGTCCTGCTGACTTTGTTCCAACAAATTTATTATTATTTAAAAATAGCAATTTTTTTAGTAAAGTTTTACAATATTTCAATAGTCTAAAAATATCCTAAAAATGGGGTGTGGTTTTTAGAAAAAAAAAAAGCTTTAAAAAAACCGAATTGCTCTGCTGGCTTCTTTCGAAGGTTAGCAAGCACCATGTATTTTTTAAAAATATCATTTATTTTTTCGAAAAAATTGATAATATTTCAAGTGCATAAAAATATGGTGTTGTTTTTACAGAAAAAACTTTAAAAAACAGAGGTGCTCTGCTGACTTCGTTCGAAGCTATCAGAGCATTTTGATTTTTGCTGGAAACGAGGAGCATAAAATTTTTGAAAAGGGTATGCATAGGTTTTAAATCAAAATTTCTTTTTCTGCAGCATTCTTTGGCATCATAATTATTACTAGATTTACTAACAAAATCTATTTCCAGATCATTTTAACCTTGCTGCGATTATAAAAAATGTCACTTTATATGTCAAAATTAGAAAAAAATATTTATAGGAATAAAGAGCCTTATACATTGTTTATTATATGTGATATAAAAACAAAAAAGCGTAATAAACATTACAAACCTTGAGATGCAGCATATCCTAAGCATTGTGCACTAACAATTTCATTTTTGTTAATTACAACAACCACATCATAAGGTTTTTGCCGTACTTTGTCCCTTTAGTATGCAAGTATCTCCTTCTCTTTTAAGTTGTACATGGAAAATGACATCATCTCCATATTCTTGCTTAGCAGATCTAAAAATAAAATATTTATTTAATAAAGTAATTAATTTTGTAGTATTTTCAAGTGCCCTACTTTTAACATTTGGCC